TTAAAATTATAAATTAATGTAGATTTTCATCAAAATTTTATTTTAGCAAATATAACATATATATATATATATATATATATATATATACACACACACACTAGAAGGGTATTCATACAATGCATCGAGACATATCTTGATTTCAATGTTTTATTTTATTTCTTTTTCATGTCGATATAATACGGTTTTATTTGGTTTTGAGAAAGCGATAATGTTTTTATTTTTAAAAAAAAAATATCGATATCAGTATCAAATTAATCTTTTTAAAAGTTCTTGTGTTTTGGTGTAATTTTCTTAATTCAATTTTTTAATTATAATTTAATTTAAGTTTAATAACAAAGAAATTTAATTTAGACTTAATAATATATATTTTTATGAAGATAATAACTAAGTATTCTGTTAGAACTCAATGATTATCCTAATTATATTTTAGATTTTTTATATTTAAAATGGAATGTTTATTCAGTATTTGATTATGTTTATCTGCAGTTAGTTACACGAATTCAAATATAAAGCTCTAATAAGTTGTACTTATGCACAGTTTACTTGTAAAGTTTACTTGTAATCTTAAATTTTAAGTAATATGCATCAATAAACAGTACTTCGTGCATAAAAAATAGTTTTTTAGAGTTTTTGTCAAATGTTTTATAATATAGTGTATATATATATATATATAATCAATTTGATGTTATTTTTAATTAACATATTATATTATTAAAAAAAATTCTTCTTATTTATATTAATTAACATATTATATTATCAGATATTTGCTTTGATCTTACACACTTATAAGCTAGTTTTTATCAGACATGATTTGTTAATCAGCTAGTTTACCAAACATAGTCTAAGTTTCACCATAACTTTAAATTGAATTAGAATTTATTGGCTTAACGAGTTGCTTTGAGCTTAAAGTGTTACAGAAAATGTGAAAATTCTATTATCTGTGTAAGAATGTATTTTTGACAAATAATATCCAAAACATAATCCAGACTCAGAGTCGTCATGATATCTGAACGAGTTGTAATTGTTTAAACAGACGGTTATCAGTTTAGGAAGAAGACGAAAAAGCATATTATGAAAGAAGACTTGGCCAAGATGCTCATTTTGGAGTATTATCAAAATTTATACATAATTACACCATTAAATAGAAAAGCCGTCTCATAATTATACTATTAAATATCATGTCAGATTATTTTAGAAAAAATTGGCTTCGTACGTTATAAAAAATGCATAAAGAATCTGATCAGACAGTTCATTAACGAACCGATCCTGAAATATGATATTGGTTCGACCAAAAACGAGTTTTGAGAAATTATCAAGGCCGAGTTGTGGGCTTTTTTTGATTTTTGATATATTTTTTTTATTAATCTGGATATCCAACCCGTTACGCGAGCCGATTAATCTCAGAGCAACTACCTGCTTTGCAGATAGCCAAGAGTCACCGCATCTGAACCTCCGTGGCGAACAAGGGGATTTCGTTTCCTTCTCTTTTAAGGATATGTGAAATCCCTGTAAATTTCTATCTAAAGAGTCTTTACAAAGAAATATGAATTTCCCACACATATAGATGTTTTATGATACGTGTCTAGTTGACGTGGGACTCTGATACCATGTGAAAAGTATGTGACACTAAGAGATTTTATAAAGAGACGGGAATTGCCGACATATATAGATGTATGTGGAACACATTCAAATCACTCTTCAAAAACGCTCTAATTTTACACATACACAAATTTTGTTGTCGAATTCTTCAAATGGTAAATTTTTACTCTGATACCATGTAAGAATATGTAAAAAAAAACCCATTTTAATCACTCTTTAAAAAAGTCACTAAAGAGAGAATGGAAGTTGCAACTTATTTTGTCAACTGTAAATGACTGTTTGGTAGTGGCTTAATGATATATAAAGTGGTTTATTTGGTAAACATTTATGAAAACCAAGTTTTTTTCAAACCTAACCCTCCCAATTAAAAAAAAAAACTCCTATGTATGAAAAAACTCTAAAAAAACCTTCTCAATCTATACTGACAGATTAATCCACATATTCATCAGATAACTGTCTCGGATGATCCCTTTACTTTCATAGGTTCGGACCTCTATTTAAAACCGAATAAGAATAAAAACACAAATATTCACATGATGTACAAAATGAATACACAAATCATCAAAAACCCATAAACCAATATAAATAGAAAGTCATGAACCAACCTATACTCCTTTCAAATCTCTCCATATGTATATAGAATAAAAGATCAATCGAGAAGACAGTTAACTTAAAACAAGTGCGAGAAGGATCAATTCACATGTGAATCTATGCTAAATCACATGTGAATTACTACATGTCCAGAAGGACACGGGCGACCAATCAACACAACCAAGGTCGTGTAAGAAACTCACCTTCTGTACGTGTTGTGAATCACATGTGATTTGACCCTTCTTCCACTTCTCGTAAGTTGATTGTCTTTTCGTTTGAACCCGCCTCTATATATAGATAGATAATAATTATGTGTTTATAACTTATAATCATACAATGTTTTCCACAAAAAAACAAACAACACCGTCGTCGTCGTCGTCCAAATCTTCAAACTTTAACAGCATCGTTGTTGGTTTTTTCTCGAGAATTCGAATCAAGAAGATTCATTAGCGATCTAGCTTTTTTGCTTCGAACCTTCCCGGCCTCTTTTAGTAATTCCGCTAGCCTCTTCTTCTCGTCCTCCACATCGAGCCCCGCGGTCCCTAGCTTTTCCTCTCTCATTTCAACAATATGTTCCAAGATCTCAATTGCATCATCCAACCTGCAAAAAGATCACATTTTGAGCCAAAGATAATGAAATTTGCACTCTTTCCTTTTGTGGAAAGTATCCTTTTATCTGTTTATGATTCTATTTCTATTTTAGTTTGTTACAAAATAAGTATTTGTAGAATCCCACGTGAGCATCGCGTTCTAGCTCGATAATCTAATAAGGTTATAGGACCAAATAAATTTCAGTGACGGATCCAGGAAATTAATGGAGTGGGGGCATGCTGGATGAGACTTGAGGGAGGCAAGCATATGACCATATGGGACTGGGGGGAACCATGTAATATGAGGATTAAAATAGAAAATTTAAGCTAGTCAACAAACATTTTTGGTCTTTGACTGGGGCCTGATTTAGTTGTAGGGTATAGATTTCAAACCTGCCTACGGCATCGTAAGTTCCCGCAAGATTGCTATAAACCGCAAGCGTATCGGGATGAAACGGACCACACTCGTTTTCCAAAACCCTCCTAGCTTCTTCGAAGCATTCTATCGCTTCGTTTATGGCATAGCGTTGGACACACGTGAGTCCCATTTGGTTAAGCGCGATCCCGTAAAAAGCCGATTTCTTCTCGCTACTTGCGCGAAGCTTGAGAATGGCGGTTTTAAATGAATCGTAGGATTCCGAATATTTTCCCATCATATAATACATAACTCCCATTTGAGCTTCGATGCCGGCAATCGTGGTTTGCTGCCCAGGAACCGTGTTATATATCTTTAACGCTTTGTATAGCAACTCGAGTGCCAAATCAAGCTCATCCATAGACTCGTAAATGGCCGAAATGTTGGTAAAACCGCAAGCAATTTCCTCCTGAGGGAATCCAGAAACGGGATTTTCGTATATGCGAAGAGCGTTTTCACAGTAGGATTTCGATTCTTTAAACTTGCCGGTTTTGTTGCATAAATCCGCCAAACGGGCGAAAACCGAAGCAACAGACGGATGGTTTTCGCCTTTGGAGGATTTCAGAGATGTGAGGGCCTTCTGATAAGCGCAAATAGCTTCGTCGTATCTAGATAACGATAAATATGTGTCCCCAATGCTTAAATCGACAAAAGATACCTCATTTTCTTGCCCGTTAGCCGCCATGGTCATGCTAGCCGAAACCAAATGCTCGAGTGCACCCTCATGGTCTCCTTTCGTCTCGCAAATCAGACCCATAAGTCTCCGATCCGCTGCTTCTTCTGCCGGCAAACCAGAATGAATCTCGAGAGCCATGCGACAGAAACGCTCGGCCTCATTAAATTGGAGCGCTTGAACATGAGCTTCGGAAAGATATCTACACGTTTCACCTATTCTTGGATCAGTTTCGCCCAAAACCTGTTTCTGAACTTCTAAACCCGATGTGTAACATTTAAGCGAATTTTGAACTTGACCCAACATAGCGTAAGTATCACCCAACTGCATTAAACCGGAAAATTTAGCGAGAGCATGATCTTGACCTTCATCGATCACCGGCATCTCAATGGAGTTTTCAAGAATCGGAACAGCTTCATCATACTGCCCTAAACTGCAGTATATCGCAGCTGTAACGTGCAAACACATAACGACATCTAAACTTGGTTTTCCATTAGCGGATTTCTCGAAAGAAGAAGCTGCTCGAAGAGTGAAATCGAGCGCTTTTCGAGGGTTAGCGCCAGAAGACATCAAATCTCGGGCTTGTTTAAGCAATAACGGACCAAGATCCAAGTCTTTATCACCAACAACCGGTTTTCTCGATTTCTTATTGTTTTTCTTCCCTAAAAGACGGTTCGTTTGATGGGTTTTGCTCTTGGGACTCGATCTAGAACTTGTTTCTGTATCCAATTGCGATCGGTAAGCTTTCTTCGAGTTTCTTGAGGACGATTTCGAGCTTTCTTCCTCATTTCGCTTAGAAATCTCTTCATCTTCTTTGATAATCTCCACTTCCCTCATCTCACCTCCAACTAAATGCCTCAATTCCGAATCGATCATGGACTCTTCACCATCCGATCCATAGCTATTTCTAGATGGCGACTGATTGGAACTTTGCATCTCGCAAACGTTATCATAAAGCTCTTCGATAGATGGCTCGGCCACCGCACCCGATGCACCCACATCATGAGAACTCATACCAACAGAACCAACATCTTTCTGAGACTTCAAATCCAAATTCTCTCCAGTTTTCAACAAATTTCCATTCTCAGGCATTTCATCAAACACCTTATCTTCATGAACTTCATCCATAACTAATCCAGTCGTCATTCAATCTGCAAACAAACTCAGAAAGGGAAAATCAACAAATTCTGTCAACAAAATACCCAAATAGTGACAAAAAAGGAAAAAAACCAATCTAAGGAGGCAAAACAGTTCAAATTTAAAAATGCAAACAGCAAAAAGTTTGGTTCCTTTAAAGTACCCAACATTGTTCTATAATAATTACACATAAAAAAACCTCCAAAAAGGGAACATTTGACCTAAAAAGATTCGATCGTTTCTAAAGTTGAATACACCTCGAAATTCAAAAAAGAAAGCTTCAAGATCATGATAACAGATACTGTTCCATAGACGATATAACCCAGATCTTCGTAATACAGTACAGATTGCTTCATTAACAACTGATACGAATCAATAATCACAAAACTCATATGAAATCAATCAAAGAATCAACAGATTGGAACTTTTATGCATAGTTGACTTGTAAAAAAACCCATCAAATTCAAGAAATCTTGAAATGAATTCATACCTCAGAGAGTGCCCATGAAGGAATTTGGAAGATTTACAAGGTTTTTTTGAGGGTGTTTGTAAAGAATCTATCTTTTCTGTGCTTGGCGTGCTGTATCTTTGACAAGTTGAGGAGACTGGGGAGGGAGGAAGGGGTAAAATGGGGATTTAGAGAAAAGACTGGGGGCAAAATGGGAATTTCATCTCGATGGTGCAGGGGTGGGAATGTCAGAGTGGAAGAGTTTTTTTGGTTCTTTTTTTAAACCGAAAGCCTTTCTGTCAACCCGCCGACTTGTCTTCTACTTGGGTTCATGGACTTGCTAAATATAGAAGTTTTATAGTATGTGAAATTACTAGAATACCCTTTCAGAAGTTGGTTGATTTCTTACTTTTCTTGTTGGACAAGAGTGTTTGGAAAGTAGACACAAGGTCATATTCGACAACAAGATTTCTTCGCAATGGTGCAAAACAATTCTAGAAAAAATAGAACTGAATCAGATAAAAAAGCCGTAAAATAACTGACATAATAAGCTGGTTATAAGATCCTACATTGGTTGGAGAGGGAAACAGAAGTTACCTCACAAGGGTCTGAATACTTTCTTTATCAGATATTCAAAACCATTGAATTCGTGTGTGGACAAAGCAGACAATATTTGACAGGGTCAGGTTAAGATGTTATACTGGTTGAGGGATACGGGCCTAAAAAGGTCGCGAGTCTTCAACTACAACGATCCCAACTTCAAACTAGAAACGAAGACGTCTGACTCTTAGAGGAAAACGCTTGTGGAGTAAAAGGAAATGACATTTAAGTCGCTTATAAATAGTAGGTGAACTGAATTGTTGAATAATCAGATAAATTCTATCTCTACCATGTATTTTTTATTTATTTCCATACCCTTCATTGGAGTAATGTTGGTCATTAAATTTCAACCTCAAATTTTATTTGGTGTAGGTAATTACAGCATTTATTGTCATATTCTGTATCACATTATCAGTATGAATATAAGTATTTTTTTTTAGCAGTAAAAGATATAAGCAAATAATTTACAGAAATTATATTATTTGGGGAAGTTTGAGAATCTGGGAATTATCCATAACACAGTCTCTAAGCTCTTTTTTATAATGAATATTAACTATGAATATCACATTCATGATGAATACAGATGTTTTAGTAATATAAATAAAATATTTATTGATGAATAACACGTCCACATTTCCTTATAAATATAATATGCGTTGCGTTGTGAATAGTCCCTGGATTCTTAATGAAAATGAGGTTCGAAACAAAAGTTTCCCCTTTAATTGTATACAAATTGAGGCAATCTGATTCAAGTAATCGTTTATCTTGTACCTCCCAAGGAGCAAGAATTATTATGGATGGTGATCAGTGGGGAACCCGGCTTACCCGACCCGAACAGAGACGGAGATTCCCTGTTAAAACGGGTCCTAGGGCCGAGGATCCCCTGTAGACTCAAACCAGGTTTGGGGCCGGGGTCGGGTAGCGTATCCTCCCGTCTCGTACCCGATATATAATTTTATTAATATATTTTATATAATATATGTATATATATAATCTTTATTTTCTAAAATTAGGACTTGATCGGGATTTGACCAGAAAATAAATTATGGATGGGTGATCAGGGTCGGGAGCCGTCCATAGAAACCGGGGCTGGGCCCAGGGAGACTCAAATCTGCCCCCTTCCCTGCCATGTTGACATGCCTATGAACTGTCGTATATTGAAATCAGATTTAAATTATATATAATAATATAAATGGGTGACATGATTATTTAAAATAAATAAATAAATAAAGGAAAATGTGTGTTCCTTTTTCTTTAATAACATAATAAATAGCCCTAGTAACTTTCTACATTTATGAATTCAAATATCTACTAAACTCTAATTAAAATTTTATTTAATGAATAAATAATTTCTGCAAGCATTAGTTAAATGAAATATATATATATATATATATATATATATATAGGGGCCTATTCAAGGGAGAACTGAGTTGTTTGTGGTAACTGTGAGAACCAATATTAACCACAAATCAATAGATAAATTAGGAAATTTATAAATTTGGTAATTTTAAATTAAAATCTTAAT